GAGGCCCTCTTATATGCGAACGATATCTAGCATGCCATTTTAGAACAAAAGGCAATGGTTAGGGCTGCTGGCATGTCTAGACTCACCTCGGACGGTGAAAATACCGTGACATTAACATTTGCAGACGGTTCATGGCGCTTGGGAGACTGATTTTTGAGCGTTTTTCGGAAGCTCAAAAACGCTGGCAAGGTCGCAAAGGCTGGGCAAGTGGCCACGAGCGCATTGTGGCTCCGCGTTGGCCAATGAGAGTATGGCTCCTCTGATGGACTCTGATGGACCTCCGTAAACAGCACTACACTCGATGAGTTGCATTTACAGACTCAACCACCTCTACCTGTCCATCGCCACCTTCACGTCAACGAGTCCTTGAAAGAAGGGGGAAGCGAATTGTCACGAGGAGAAAGACCCGTGATACGAATCCAATTGAGCACACGAGGTGTCCTAAGGGTGCTCGCACTTGGAGAATCCGTCTCCTTGCATTATGGCGCTAGTTATGTGGTGGTATTCTGGGGGTAAAGTCACAGTCGGTCACGCTTGGCGAGGCACCGTTATCCGTCCTCTTGCATTGTGGCGTCATCTGTGCCATTTTATTGCAGCTTTATCAGAAAAATACATCTTCTCATGTGGTGGCGTTAGATCCATGTCATTTTTGTGGGGAGAGTTGCGTCCATTTCCGTTCTAGTTGTGCCTCAACATCGGGTTCTAGGCCTTGATGTTCAGAGAACGAATGGTCAGAGGGCCTATGTGGCGAGGATTTGACATTAGCTGGTTTGCAATCGGCTTCTAGACCACGTAAATGAGGTCGGAGAAAGCCCAAAACCAGGATGGGCAAGGTGGGGGTCAAGGTTGAAATGAAGAGATATAACAAAGCAAGCTTCGTGGCCACTTTCCATACAACTTTGCATCCTAAAGTGAAATTGGGGAGAGTTATCTTTCTATTCTTGAAGCTTGTAAATTGACCAAATAATAAAATACCACGTTCGACCTGCGTTCAGCGGACGCGAACACGACACGGAGCCAGCCCTTAACTTCAGCCCACAAGTATGGCTTACAGGTATGCTTTGATAAGGATTGTAGGAGAGAGCTAACATACAGCAACACATAGTAGATCCATCCTGAACCTCGTGTCTTCAAGGGTAGTAGTCGTCTCTGGAATTTGACTATCATACAAATCTTGGAACATTGTTAGATTCTCATACATCACGGTCGCTTGATAACTACAGGTATAGACAAGGTATCCCACTCATCCTCCTGAGTCAAGTTCTCTCTCTTCGTTCCACGATATTCCTCCGTGAAGGGGGATTTTTGCTCGAAGGAGGAAAGGTCCCAAGGTTTGGTAGTGAAGAAAAGCTTGAAGATGCTCAACGCTGTATCTTGGCCATCTCGAAGGGCCCTTCCTCCCAGAGTATCCCCTTGATCCTGAACGAAATGCGACCATGGAGCTTTACCCCCTGTCCCATATCCGATCGTAAAAGTGCCACCAGGTTGGAGTGGAGCATCTTCATCTTTTGTACCAACGGTCGGAGGTCTATAATGAGATTCTATCGAGGGAATGAGTTGCCTGAGAGGGCAGTAGGAGTACTCAATACATACGAATTGAAAGATCACTGCAGTTAAACTCAAAGAGATGAGGATAGAGTTGAATCCCGGAGTTGTTCTTGATCTCGATGCCATACAAGGCAGTCCCTGCAGTAACCTCCACAGGCCCACCGGAGTTATAGAGATTCTCTCCATTCCTGACAACCAATCCGTAATTCTTGCGTTCCACCGCCACATACTGCACTTGAATGCAATCCTCGAGCATCCGGCTCTTCGGGGTGAGGTGTACTAACCTATTGAACTCATTGGCTGTGTGTATCACATTATAGACGATACCATCTTCATCTTTCTTGACTCGGAATGGCAAACGAACGGACTGAGCTAGTTGAACCTCGGGGATCAACATGTCGAAGACGACGTGGTCGCTCTCTACGTCGACTTCGAGCGATGCCTGTTCCCTAGCCTCAAACGAGTAGTGGAATAGTTTTGTCGTATGGGCATCCATTCGTTTTATGAATGCTTCGCGAACCAGATCCGCACCTGGACTGCTAGTGAAATGGACATTCAAATCTTTTGTTTGAACGGCGTATGCAGGCAGGGGGATCTGTGTCGAGTCGGGGATATCGAGGATGGAAGCGGTCGTTTGTGGGTTACTGACAGGAAGTATGCCAAGGGGAGGAGTTTTCATGTCTGGATTTTGAAAGACTGCAAACTTGGTACCAATTGTAGCACCTTGGACAGTGCCAGCAGAGACAACGAAATCGTTTCCAACCTTGTCCACTTCATAATAGTCACGGTCA